TGGGAAATGTCACCCAGCACAAAACATTCCTGAAGGATCCTTCCTAGTGTGATGGAGAGCAACGCTGCCCAACTTCTCTGACAGACACCCCAAAGGAGTGCCTGTTAGATCCCACTCAAAACCCCTCTCTCCAGCCAGCGTTACAGACAGCACCTGAGCTCCATGGGAGAGGCCAACAGCACCAAAGGGAAAAGCAATTGTAACCCACACCGCCTTTGGGTGTGGTGGCACCAAGATCAGTTAGAGAGAGAATAATGAGTCTGCTCTACAGTCTTAGGTAACAGGCTTTTAAGCTCATGTGGTAGAGGCTCACACATTAAGCTCCAGAGGTCCCAGGTTCGATTCCTCCCACAGACGACTGGGCTCTGTCTGCATTACACAAACACAAGAGGAATAGTTCATCTGGGCACAGGACTATCCCAGACTAAGTGTAGGGCTTACAGGGGATACCACTCTACAGACTCTATAGGTTCACACTGAACCTGTAGCTGTCCAATCTCACAGAGATGGTCACACATGGTTCCCCCTCCTGGAGCTGGCCATTCCCCTCACTTGGGCTCCTAAGGGATGCAGCGTGGGGCTCAGATTCTGAGCCTCCAGACCCGTGTGCAGTAAGTAGCTAGGAATTCCAGCCCAACACATGCAACCCTCCCTTTCCCCCATGGTCAGAGACAAGGTCCACTCACAGCGAGGTGAAGAGAGGACTCTGCTCTGCATCTTCTGCATTCATTGCTATGACACTTGGCACCAGGGCACTCAGGACAGATGGGCTAAGGAGACAAAAGCAGCAGCAGAGTAGGAAAGATGCTTGAAAACAAATGGCAAGTAATATACCCAATGGGAGCCAAGTACTGTGAGCTGCACAGGGCCCGGAACCCATGACAGATCTAGAACAAGAAAGCCCAGCAGAAGCCTGGCTCAGTTCTGTAAGTTGCCCCAAAACTTGGGCACATGGCCTTACCTAACATAAAAGCCATGGTTGGGGTCAGGGGTATACTCTGTCCACTTCAGTAAGGCTCTCTCAAACTGGATGGTGATTTTGGTGACAGAGTTTGCTGGGAGCTGGATCAGCATCTCCAGCAGATGGGGCCGCCTTCGGTCCTGAGCCGGCTGGTAGTGGATATAACCTAAACCAAAGACAGCCACATGTCACCCTGCGGGGAACTTTCCCCACTAACAGACTGCCCTGAGTGATACTGATGCCTCCACCCTCCCCTTCAAGAGTCTGCGAGAAGGGGAGAGGGAGGGAGGGAGGACGCACGCACGCACACACCCTTCTGTTCTTCACAACTAGAACATGAACTCCCTGAGGCAGGGACTGAGTTATGCTCTGTTCTGGACAATTAGAGCTCAGCATGTAAATCACGGGAATATTACAAGGCAAAAGATGCTCCAGTTGATCAGCTCTCACTAACCCAAAATGACACACAAAGATAAATACGATTCTCATGTCCGAGGCTCTGTGATGAATACACAGGATGCCTCTCCCCATCCACGGAGACACCATCGTAAAGGAAGAAGTTCTCACCCACCCTGTTCCACATCTCAATGGAGGAGAACGGAACATGGACAGACGGACTGTTCTATGTCCGTTATCAGTCCAACCTCTTTACTCTTAAAGTGTAATGCCCTCGAAAGCCAGGCTGTAACTGAACTGATATGTGCAAGCTTCATGAATGCACAGCTCTGACACCCTAGGCCTGGCCTGCTGCTATTCCAGCCCAGGGCGCTCCAGAGCAGACACTGCTGTTAGTGGTAAACTTGAGAGTGTTTCTGAAATTAGCTTTCCACAATAACACAGCATCTAAGGAGCTCACACTGAACCTCTGGTGATCTGGGCAGGGACTGATCTGTCTGGAATAAGACCCTGTTACCAGGGGAGGCTGCAGAGTGTGTATTCCTTACTTGGTTTGTTTTCCTTTCCCTTGGTGGTGATAACCAAAGTGTGAACATAGAGTCTCAGATACCAGGGCACCGTCTCCAGTAGTATCACAGGGAAAGCCCGGTATGGGTGGGTGTTATAAACCAGGGTGCAGATTTCCCCTGTCTGCAGGCCATATCCACTCACATAACGCTGAGCATAGAGCACAGGAGTTGACAGATCCGCTGCAACAGAGTAATCACACAGGAACCAGTAACACCTAAACCCAGCTGGAATTCTGAACACAAAAATATTCCTATTAACTCAGCAAGGAGCTGAGAGGCAGGGGGCACTTCCGTTTCACATGGCTCCTACTGCCTCCCGTTTCACAAGGAGCAGAAGAGGGGACAAGGAGTAGTTTTTTATCTCACGCCCTGAGGAGTACAGGAAGGGTTTCCTGAATGTTGCTGCTCTGTGGCTCTCCGCAGCAAGCAGCTCGCAGTCTTCTCCCCCTTCTCAAGGCTCACACAGTGGGTAACAGCAGCAGGAGCCTGAGAACCCCCATCCCAGATTGGCGCATTCTGAACTGGGGAGGGAAGAGGGGTAGAATGAAGCCACTCATCACTCACAGCTGTCCTGCGGACGTTTCCACTTCAGCTGCACATTGAGGCTGCGAGATGCATTAAAGAGCAGTGGGCTCAGTAAGTCGTAGACTGCATAGGTTCTCCTGTCTCCTTGCACAGATGCTTCATGCAAAGACAGTGGGGACGGGGTTACCTCCAGCAGTTCATTCGCCTGAGAAGGCAAGCAGAGCATAACGGAGGGGAAAGCAAGTCCTGCATTAACCAGTAGACAGAGAGGCAGTCCTTAGCATCCCCCTCATGGAGGTGACTGGCCTACAGTCTAAGTATACTCCCCTACCTTGCATGGGGCTGGTTTGCATAGGGGCCAGCTGAGGCTCTTCCCTAACACAACTGCAGTAGCTCTGTTTCTGGACTGTACTACAGTTATTTCACTCTTCCAAAAAATAGGCACATCTGCCCAACTTGCAACAGGAAGCCTTTGATCAAGAATCCCATTCTTGCAATGAGCTCTAGATGGGGGCATTCCAAGGAGTTCCATCTCTGTGCTCTGATGCAATTAGAGATGGCAAACAATGCTGTAGGGAATCCAAATTCCTCCTATCAGGGTGCTATGTCAGGGTACTAGGCAGAAGAATGAACAAGTGTTACCTGGGTCTTACTAGAAATATCAACATAGATTTTGCTCTCAGATGCAAGAGGACAAGCATCAGTGATGGTGCGCGAGAACATCTTAAAAAGGGACCAGTCTGGAGGAGAAATACACAAAAAGAGAAGTCAGCCAAGATGCAAGTGAATGAGGCTCAGTGCACCCACAGAACACAACATATTGAAGGTTAAACAAGTGTTACCTGGGTCTTACTAGAAATATCAACATAGATTTTGCTCTCAGATGCAAGAGGACAAGCATCAGTGATGGTGCGCGAGAACATCTTAAAAAGGGACCAGTCTGGAGGAGAAATACACAAAAAGAGAAGTCAGCCAAGATGCAAGTGAATGAGGCTCAGTGCACCCACAGAACACAACATATTGAAGGTTATTCCA